ATCAAGAAACACATGAAAAAAGGTTTGACAAATTTATAATTGAGTGTTATGATTAGCATAAATTAATCATTTTTCTTGGAAATGTCATAGCAATAATCGAAGGGAAATCCAACCTTGTGGATAATGAGAAAGAAGAAGAAGAGTCGTTAGGGATGTAGTAAATCTGTAAATGTAATTTAAAATTTTCTTCTTTGTTTCAAATGTTAATCTCAATTTTCAAATAAACTTGAAAAGCTTAATAATGATATCCACAACTTGATTATGATTCATCACATATTTGAACTCCACTCTTACTTCCTTTTTGACAATGCTTTCTTTTTATTCACACATATGGTTGCTTGATCTATTATCCAAATATCATGACCTACAATTATCTTTCTTTTCCATGACCACAAGTCCACAACCTTTAAATGATAATTGAGTATTGACTTTTCTTTTCATTGTTAGCTTTTGTTTCGATTGTTTCTTCCTCTTCCACAACTGTCACGTTTTCTTTCTTGTCCATATCCTCTAGAACTCTTTTCACCTTCTTCATTCTTTATGCCTTGATTGGTTTTAAGAAAGTGGCCTTTCTTGTCTCTTTTTGATTCTTTCTTCATAGACTTGTAAACAACATTCCAACTGCTTCATCATTATAGATTCCATTCTTGAGACTACTAAATAACACACATAACCTTATAAAGTTTAGATGTTACGGATAGGAGGCAGTCGAGAATGTGATGTAAAAAGGATTAAGGAGGATCCTATCCTAAAAGATAAGAAGTAGGAGGTAGCTTCAGGGGCAGAATCAGATGATTATATAAGATAAACAATGAGATAATGGAGAGGATTTAGACAATTCACTTTGAGTACAAGAAAGTCTACTAGTAGGAATTCCTCATGGAAGAGCTACCTTTGACAAAATTTTCAAATCTATTTAGTATATGGCACAAGAAGGTGAACTTTCATTTATATATCAAACTTTTGCTTTGGTTTGTTATTGACTTGACTACATTATCTCACTGAGTAGTATTTTATCATGGAGGAAAGAAAGATGGGCCAAATCATGTGGGTAAGTGCCTAATCAATTTCATACTAGCTGTTAGAAAAATAATAGTAGAAAATATAATTGAAGAAGAAGATGGCTTTGAGGCGTGTAATCACATTCTTTAAAGAGTTATTGCCCATATACACATTGGGGTAATGCAAACAATTCTCTTCAAGGATACAACAAAGCCCTTTGTTTATACATGCAGATTTTTCATAGGCTACTTCTTAGATAGTCTTTATATTTTATAGAACTTAAGAGATAACTCTTCATAAGAGTCATGTTCTTTCATGAACATATGACTTTTCATAAGAGTCGAGTTCTTTCATGAACATATGATTTTTCATAAAGGTCATGTTCTTTCCTGAACAAAAGATTTTTCATAATAGTCATGTTCTTTTACGAACAAACGTGTCTGTTCAATTTAAGACCTTTATATATTACAAAATATCCAACAGTCCCCCACTAGTTTGTAATATTTCTCATAATGTCATGCATACCTAAGAGTATCTTATAATTGATTTGAACTTTCTATTAGTGCAAGTACTTTAAAGTTCTGACGAAGTAATTAGTATCTTAAAAGATTTGAACCACAACATCTTGTGTCAAAATCGAAAATATCACACACATAATATTATTTATAGCTTTGAAACTCAATATATGCTTTAGCACGTTTATGACCATGTGCTCATCCTGATTTCATGAATATTTACAAGACCAACCCTTTAGATCTTACTTGAAGCGGCATCACTTCAATATACATATAGGTGAAATTAGCTACTATGTCCCTGTTACTATAGACATTTACTAATTTCATTAAGAATTAATTCAACCTTCGTGTAACAGTTTGCACTATGGAGTTTGTCACTATGCCCCTGTTATATCAAGCATTTAACAACTCTCAACTGCAGTACACTTGATTCAAGGCTTGAAAAAAAGACTTGTGCTTTAGCAACACTAAGTAACTTGTTATTACCCGTTGAACTTGTATTGTTAGAGTGTATATTAACTCAAAGTTGAGTTCCCATTACTTGTGTTTAGTTTAAGGATTTTAACCTTATTCATTCACACATTTATAATACTTCATCTTTTGAAACTAAATTTTACAAGATTAATATAAATAATAAACAAATCTTTCACATAGGCATGTCACAAATAACATCATTATCTCAATAGCTTAGAATGATTTCATCAGTTGTGGCCACAACATTTCAAAATCATATTCTTTTCAACCATTCCATTTCTTTTCAAGCATTTATATGTTAAATATATTCTTATTCCACTATGGAATTCAAGCCTATTTTGATGCAAAATTTATGGCACCTTCATACATGTTACAAATCCAACTTATATGGATTTTATCATTATCATTAAAAAATTCTCTTTTTATAGACCAACACACCAATTCATCTATGTATGAATGGTCATGTCTATACAAATGTTATCTTACAACAAATATTATTGATTATTAATCATAATCCAATCACTCCCACACTTAAAATATTTCAAATGTCTTTTTCATAACTTGAGTGGACATATTAGTAGATCATCTTGTTATCAAATTTATCGTGTTTCAATACTATAACACAAGCATTTAATAAGAACACAAAGTCTTCAACCTTTAATGAATGCAAAATGATCTAGCAAAAATTATCATTTCTCTTAATTTCAACTTATTCTAATAACTTTCAAGTATAGATATAATCCATCAAATAAAGGAATTCATATATATCATCTGATAACTTGAACATAAAATTTACATGATCTTTATGCAACACAATTATGCAATAATAATTTTCTTTGTCCCAAATAACAAATTTATAATAAGCATAAGCATATCAAGTATGTCATTCCTAAACTTATTTAAAATGCATTTCAAGATCATCACAAGTGAATTATTTATCCTAACATTTATGGAAAATCATTTCTCAAAAATTTCAAAGGATAAATTTTATAAATAAATAACAAGAAAAGTTAAAAAAGCAGAACCCGATATATGCCATTTCCTTTGTGATCCACTTTTGCTGCCTTAGAATCATACTTTAGATCACTCAAAAAAAAAATCCTACTACCCCACTTCCTCAAGAACTCAAAGATCTTGTCTCTTTTTTCTTCTTCAAATCCAATAACTCTTTAAAATTGTTAGAAAAATGATAGTAGAAAATATAATTGAAGAAGAAGGACTTTGAGGCGTGTAATCACTTTCTTTAAAGAGTTATTGCCCATATACACATTGAGGTAAATACAAACAATTCTCTTCAAGGATACAACAAAGCCCTTTGTTTATACATGCAGATTTTTCATAGGCTACTTCTAGAGAGTCTTTATATTTATAGAACTTAAGAGATGACTCTTCATAAGAGTCATGTTCTTTCATGAACATATGACTTTTCATAAGAGTCGTGTTCTTTCATGAACATATGACTTTTCATAAAGGTCATGTTCTTTCTTGAACAAAAGACTTTTCATAATAGTCACGTTCTTTCACGAACAGATGTATCTGTTCAATTTAAGACCTCTATGTATTACAAAATACTCAACACTTGCTACTTCCACTACCATCACCCCTAGTAATGCATCATTTATGAGAGTTCGATCATTTGAAGAAAAGGCACTGAATTACACAAAGTGTCCCTAATGCTATGATGTTGACAATCAAGTCAGCAACATTTTTGAATTTAAAATATTAAAGATTATTTGGATCATTGTTTCAATATATCTCAGCCTTCAGGGCTAGCTTGCTTCCACTAGTAGCCAAGGGGAGACCTTAAGACATGGTATCGAGGTGAAGGTATGGAGGTGCGACAATGCAGCCCAATCTAGTCTTAGGAGGAGTGGGACTTTGGAAGGTACAGGAGAGAGAAAGGACATAGCTTAATGGAGGAGTTAGAATCATCTACTCGATTCCTTGTGAGAAGATTAAGGACTAGGAGCTTTTTTTTTTTTTGCTCATCTGAGTGTAAATATGAGGGACTACACCCTTCGTGTGGTTTGTTATTAATACACAAAAATGTTACCTGTTCAAAAAAAAAAAGACTTTCACCAATTTTTTGAGTGAGAAGTGGATGTTGGTGAGAAAAGGAAGTTGAGTTCAAGTTTGGAGCACATGGCATAAGCCCAAGATCTCGAGATGACTCTAAAAGCTAACGAGATGATTCTACTTATAAACCAGCATTCCTCCGAGCAAGGGAAAATCTTTCAAAAATCCATGTGGAAATTCTTTTTAATGTGGGTGACGTTGAGATTCGATCTCAGAATCTCTATCTGTTTTGATACCATGTTGAAGTCTGTGACCATGTCATCTAAAAGTTTAAGTTTAAGATGTTAGAGAGGGCATACTTTTAATTAGTTAGTGATATTGTCAACACTTTTCAACCAAATGGACGTTTTATCGTCTTCTACTTCTTTTTCTACCTTTTCAATCGATTCACAACAACCACTATTGAATATATATTAATAGAAACTCGTGGTTGATTGACAAAATATATATATATATATTACTTCAAAGTTGTTAGAGAAAGAGAAATATTTGAGGAGTCAAGAGGTTTGTGGGAGAAGAGAAAAAGAGGAAGAGAAGTTCTTCAGTTTTTCTTAATGAAAATGACAAGTACAAAGCAAGATATTTATAGGTATTAAAAGGAGAGCTCTAGAACTACTTCTAGTATAATTTTTTTCACTTAGAAAATGCAAAATTAGAGAATTGAAGTGATCTTTGATTAAAAAAGAAAAAAAAAAGTGATCTTTGATTTCTGAATATGATTAACCTCAAGTACAAAAGAAGTTCTAGACTATACTCAAACCTTATGCAATAAAACCATCTATGAAGATGGGCTGCTCTAGACTTTACTCAAAAGAAATTCTCTAAATCACAATTTACAACAAATATCCATGACATTGAGTTGAACATTGGCTGTTAAAATTTTCTATATCAGAAATATTTGTAATTAGTGAAGAAAAGCCTAAAATAATGTGATAGCTTTGACTAATATATTTTAAAATGATCCAAAAAATATGTATACATCTCTTCAAGGAAGTTCATATACTAGAGCTAGCAAGAATGATGTATATTATATATGTCGCATTCTGCTTCAATCAATATTTTTATGATATAATAAATATATCTTTTTGTTACCAAATAGCATTCTATACAGGAATTTTTCTTACATTTTGACAACCCTAAGATACAGCAATTACACATTCTGACTGGAGCTTATATTCATGTTCACAAGTATTCTGGACGACTTCATCTCTATTTAAGCACAATTATTCATAGAGTTATTGTTCACTTCAAACTCCTCATTGACTTGAACTCTCTTGACTTAGATTTCTAAGACTCCTTCTTCCATTCAAACTCCTTGCTTCTTTAGACTCTTTCTTCAAATCAAATTCATTGATTCTTTTGTATTGTAGCGAACTCCAACTCTTCAATTCAGCAGTAACTTGAAGAGTTCTACTTCAATAGAGCTTGCTATGATCAATGAGGACAGACATTCTTGAGTGAGAAAATAGGTGGGATAGTCAGATTTCGAGCTTGCTATGAGTTTTTAGACAACATTTGAAAAGTAATAGGGAAATAACTGCACTTAAATGGGACAAAAAAGGTTTGGTATAAAATTGATGATACTCAAAACACGAAAGAACTTATAAAGGTTATCAATTGAACCCCGTGATATGTTCCTTAGTTTTGAACTTGTATATAATGGTTTGAACCCCATCAATTTAACTTTTTATTTTGAAACTTCAATAAATTTTTGAACCTCATGATCAATTCTTTCTTTGTTTTCTTTTACTTGGATTTGATGCACTTGACCCGAAGATTTTCCGGAAATAACCTCTCTAGGTACACTTTACCATCCTAGGCCTATTTTGTGAGATTTCAGTGGATATGTTATTGTTGTACGTAGTTGATAGTAGGTGCTAAAAGTGACTATTTACTACTTATATGATCCAATTCCTGAGAGTACTGGTCACACCCCACTAGACAAGTCAATCTATTGTAGATAAAATAAAATATTCAAATCTGAGAAAGGTAAACTGTACATCTTACGTTTACCTCGAGTCTGAAGGATCCTAGCTATGGAACTGCATGTCCAAATGGCAAATGAATGAGTTTTAGATAATGATCGCCATTGATTAATTTCATTTTTGCAGAACTTGAAGCATGAAACAGCTAACATGGCAAAGAAGATAGAGATCCTTGAAGTTTCCAAACGGTTCTCCATTTTCTTAATTTGTTTGCCACAATTCTCAATTTACTACTCCCTCGTAACACTTATTTTAGAAGGGAGGAAGTTTACTTAAATTTTTGAATTGGGGAATTAATTGATTAGGAAGCTAATGGGGCAAGGATTAGGGTCATGTTCAATGGATGAACTAGAAGACATCGACAGCCAACTGGAGAGGACCCTCAAAATTATCAGGGCTAGAAAGGTACAAATTAAATTCATTATTATCCAATATTTGACACTAATTAAATTATTAATCCTTAATTCTTTTCTCATTTTAATTTCTAGACTCAATTGTTCAAAGACGAAATAGAACATCTAAACGCAAAGGTATGATCATCAACAATTAATTTATTTAATGCATTTTAGGGCTTTTACTAATTGGTATAATTAATTCTATGAACTAAATGCACTTTCCCCCCTTCGTTCAGGAGAGACTATTGCTACAACAAAATGCAAGTTTACGTGAAAAGGTGAACTCTCTGATATTTGTTATTTTAATTAATCAATTGAATTTATTTCTTTTTTAAATCATTTTAAAAATAATCATCACCTTTCTAAATTTAAAAAAATAAATTAAACTTCTCCTTTTAGCGTTAGTGAGAAATTATTACAGCCATAAAAATGTTAGAACACGGTTAATTACACAAGTTTCAAAAAATTTATATATCGTCAAAATGATGTGACATATTTAATATTATAAATTCCAATATTCTTTTTTAACTCTGTGCTCAATCAAATAGGTTCACCATTAATAAAATTGAAATGAATGGAATAGTTTTAAATCATCCCACTTAATTTTCTATTACATCTTTTCAATCGTGCTTCAACCTATTTTTATTTTTTTTACACACCAATATACATGGATGTGTCATTATACTTAACATATGTCCATTATATTATAGGATATTCAAACTTTTCTTTTTATTATCTCAAACAATTTGTTACGCTAATAGTTGCATTTATGTTTTCTCGTTTTTTTTTTCACATTCAAAAAATCATTTCTCAATCCAGTGCGGGTTTATGCCAATGCTATTAGAGTCAGCACCCGCACCCGCACCCGTACCAGTACCACCACCTCAAGCGAAAGAAAGGGGAAATTGTAGCCAAAGTACAAAGAGTTGGGAAGTGGAGACTGAATTGTTTATTGGCTTTCCTCAAATGCGCTGCTTATAGTAGCGCGGGTCAGTGGCTGAGCTACAATTTTTTCATCGAAGGAATTTAAAATCCGAAGAAATAAGCACACAAAGAAGGCGGAAGGGGTTCAAAGTCTACTCTATATATATTAAAAGATAAATTTTAACTATATATAAACAATGTAATTTTTCTCTAAAGGAAAATCAGTTAAACCCCTCAATCCTACGTGGCTCCGCCCCCGATCGGGACAATGGGACCATTTGTTCATATTTTGTTTATGGTTCTCCTCAGTTATTTAGATTACAAAAGTCTAGGATTTCTCAATTATTTACAACCGTAAGGAGTTGCAAATTCAATGAATAATACCTTACAATAAGAGTGTAATGTTTGTCCCTATTTCTTTTTGGTAACCTCGTTTAGCCAAATGTTGTATCTATGTTTCCATGAACAAGTTTTTTTTTTGTTTCACACCCTATTGGGAGCGCCACCCCCAAATGGATCTTGCAAAGCGTGATTCGAATTTAGTCGGAGCCCTAATGTGAACAACTATTATAGAGAAGCTTGATTTGTGTTGCATATGTATTTATAGTATGCTTCCTTTCTATTTTTTAAACATTCTAGACAGCTCAATTGTTTTGAAGTGTATTACAAGTTTGTTTTTAGTTTATAATGAATATATAAAAATTTATGGGAGAATTCCAAAATTTGAAACTTATAGATTCTTGTAATGACCTTAAAGTCAATATTCAATAATAATTAGGTGCACAATTAAATATTATGAATACTACGTAAATTTCTTAATACATTGACAATATATATATGGGCAAAATCTACGGGTTCACATGAACCCAATCACCACAACAACCACTGTAGATTCGCTTTTTGCAAGATTATTTTCTTCCACGCAAATTGTAAATAGTTAAGTTAACTCATTTCCTCTATTAATTATTTGGAATAATATATACAAATTGTAAATAGTTAAGTTAACTCATTTCTCTATTAATTATTTGGCATAATATATACAGAAGAATATGTAGACGTATTTAATGACATTTCCTTACAGTCCATTACAAATATTATTTTATTCATATAATTTTTTTTTTATATAGAAGATCAGTAAAATGCAACCTGAAAGATCTAAATAAAAAATAAAAAATAGTACCCAAATACTTACAAGGACATCTTCTATTTTAACGGTAAGTGGGCCGCATAGACCACAAATTATGCGTTGTGTCAGCCCAACAATCTAACTTACCATATTTAGCCCAATTGTGCTAAATTTGCCCGATTTGGTCCAGTTGTTGCATATTTTTTAAAAGAGAGTACTTTCAATAAATAATTACTGAGTTTAGCGATACATTTGAATTATTATCATTTATAACAATACATAACAATATTATGATAAATCTACTATGTATTAAAATGAATTATGTATGTAATCAAGACGTACCAATTTCCCAAAATAAATGATGTCTCATATTTTTCTCTTTTAAAATACCCTCTCTACTCGTTTTCTTTGCACAAATTGGATCTTTCGATTGTCATTTCTTCATTCTTCAATTTCTATATAAGGTGTTTTTGGTGTGGTTTCTCAGCATTGAATGTCTATTGCATTAGGGTCGGGTTTGGAGCGTGACATACCTGTGAAGGAGCTCAGAAAATGTGTTGACATACACTAGCATTCAATGTTAGTTAGTTGATAAGTTAGTTAGAATCAAGTTGTTAGATAATTAGTTAGATTTGTCAGAAGTTAGTTACAGCTGCCACATGTGGATGTATATATACAACAATGTGTACCCAGATTCATTATCAATGAAAATCATTCTTTATTTCTTCAATTTCCCTCTTCATCATGAAAGCATCAATTCATAGTTCTTCAATAACTAGACATGGTATCAGAGCTTTGCGAGAATTTGAAGGAATTTGAAGGATTTCTACTCTTATTCAAGGATTCTGCCGTTTGTATTCTCTGTTCTACTCTTATTCAAGGATTCTGGCGTTTGTATTCTCTGTATTTCTTCTAAATTTCTGTGTATTTTGGATCTGCATCCATGGAGGAAAATGCTAATGCTTCTGTAACTACAACAACAATCAATTATCATCATCATTTGTACTTATATCCATCAGATGTTCCTGGTTCACTGTCGATTGGGATTTTGTTGACAGGATCTGATAATTACACTTTATGGAGCAGAGCTGTGAAACTTGCTTTGTTAGGAAGGAATAAACTGTGTTTCATTGATGGCTCAGTGAAGAGGAGTCAATACACAGGCGATTTGGCAAAATTGTGGGACAGATGCAATGCAATTGTGATTTCATGGCTCATGTGCAATGTAAGTAAGGATTTACTCAGTGGAGTTTTTTTTTGTTCAGACAACAATTTGATTTGGGAAGATCTGAAGGAAAGGTTTGATAAAATCAATAGTTCTAGGACTTTTCAATTGCATAAGGAAATCTTCACTTCTGTTCAAGGAACTTCTTCAGTTTCTGCATATTACTTTAGGCTTAAGAATTTATGGGATGAGTATGATTCAATTATGCCCCTCCCTCATGTGATTGTCCTAAGTCTAGGAAATTCATTGAGCATCTGCAATATCAGAGAGTTCTACAGTTTCTGATGGGATTAAGTGACAACTATAGTCAAGCTAGGAGCCAAATTTTACTAATGCCTCAGGTTCCTACTGTGAATCAAGTTTATGCCATGGTGAACCAAGATGAAAATCAGAGGATTGTTGCAGGGAATAGTAGGATGATGTCTTCCAATCCTACTGCTATGTATACTTCTAGCTCTGGTGATGATAATCACAAACAAAGGAGAGGTTTGAATGGGAATTCCTTTTGTATTTTTGCCATATGAAAGGGCATATCAAGGCTGATTGTAACAAACTGAAGAAATGCGATTTTTGCCATCTCACTGGTCATGTGAAGAGAGACTACTACAAGTTGATTGGATATCCAGCTGACTACAAAGGAAAGAGAAGGACTAATGTGGCAACTGGGTTTATGACAGGTAGCAATCATCCATTTGTTGCTAACACTGCAGGTACACAGAACTACTATACAGGCAACAATAGCAATCACCAACATCAGATGATGATGCCTATGATGCCTTTTCCACAACAATGAGGTTTCTCTCAATGCTATCCTCAACAATACAGACCTGATCCATATCCTCCTATCATACAACAACATCAGCAACATCAAGCTACTATGGACTCATCTATGTTTGCCTCAAACATTACTGTTGCTAGTGGAAGTAATTGTGCTAATGGAAGTGCTCACATGGCAGGTAATTATCTTTCACAACAAGATGAATCTGTTAATTGGATAATGGATACATGTGTTTCTAATCATATGATCAACGACTACACACACTTACTAGCTGAGGGATTGATAGAGAATGCAGGACAAGTGCAACTACCTACAGGAGATTCAACTAGAGTCTCACATGTAGGGAACTACTCTCTAGGAGGAGGTGATACTCTCACCAATGTCTTGTGTGTACCAGCTTTCAAGTTTAATCATATGTCAGTCTCTAATTTGACTAAGGACTTGAATTGATGTGCCATTTTTTCCCAAACTACTGTGTTTTTCAGGACCTCTCATCTGGAATGGTGAAGGGGATTGGTAGAGAAAGCGAAGGACTATACACTATGCAGTCACAACTAAAGACCAAGCAGGCAGGATCTGATATATGTTTGGCAACATCACTTGATGTAGATGTTATCACTTGGAACCATAGGATGTGTCATATTCCTATGAATGTTCTTAAAAGAATACCTA